CAGCAACCCATGCTTGCCGTAAAAGGCGACTATGCTTGTCGTAAGAGGCGACTAACGGGATCATGTGGTCAGGCACTGGATTGTCCTGACTCGATTATTTAATGTGGGCGGAAAGCCCGAAGTGATGCAGGTCTCGGACGTTTACCAATTTCGCTGAAACCAACGAGCACAGGTATGGTGCTGACAAACCTAGAAACATAATCGGGGCAAACTGGGAATCGAACCCACAATCATAGGTTTCTGGCGTGCCCAAGGGACGCAACTCTGCACAGCGACTCGCGGTGCCTTAGACGACTGGGCCACCCGTGCCCCCAGTTGTAGTATCAGAGTTTGATTTGATTTTAATGAGATTACCAAGCTCATTTTCTCTCATGTCTTTGGCACTAGTCCCGTTATCTACTGGAAAAATGAAATATGTCGAGCGAGTGAGTGAGTTTAACGCTGCTTTCAACAGCATTTCATTTATATCACGACATGTCAGCTAAATGTGGGAGGAAAGCCCGAAGTGATGCAGGTCTCAGACGTTTACCACTTTGGTGAAACCCACGGGTATGGTGCTGACAAACTAAGAAACAAAATTGAGGTGAAACAGGATTCTAACCCACAATCATAGCTTCCTGGCCTGCCCAAGGGACACAACTCTGAACGTCACACTGACGTTTTTTGAACCCTTAATTGTAACATATGAACAAAGTGACAGCTGAACAGGGAAACTCGTTCCATCACCAAGTCAGGAAGTACACCTTTTCAAATACAAACAGAAATATTCAATATATCAACAGGTGACGTTTGTACAGGAAAGAACACCCAGATCATAATTCGACACATATTGGCAGATTAACTATACCACAGCTGGCACACCATACATTGCAAGGCAGAGAAACTTCATGTTCATGGAGCTGTCTGCTGTCGATCAGAGCACCGTTTCACAAAGCGCTCTCAGCACTACAACTGTTAGAGGAAGGGGTTACGATTGCGCCGGGATCGTTTTTTGGAACAGAGCCCTGATGTCTGCACAGCATTGGTGAGGTGAGGTGATGTGAAATGGGGTTTAACGTCACGTCCAATAATATTGCACTTATATAGCGACGCGCATGGATGTCTGCTTGTACTAGTCCTGACTGATGCCGATTTAAAGTGCTAGCTCAATGAGATACCATGCCGCAGTTTAACATGGATACCCCACTCAGACACAGTATACTGCCGACCAGTTTTAGGCCCTTAATGCCAAGCGCCAGACAGGGTAACAACAAGTACCATCTTTTAACGTCTTTTGGTATGACACGGCCTGGACCTTCCGCTCTCCGGAGGCTGTCTCGTTGACGCAGTGTTTTCTGGGTGCACAATTTTATACAATACAATTTAAAATTAAGGAGCCAAGTGCATACAAATTGAGAGATCCATTTGGTTGCCTCTTACAACCAGCACTGGTTGATGGAGACCTATTCTAACTGGAATCGCCACTGGGGTCATGCAAATAATTCTAGACAATAACATGAGGATATGGTGTATTAAGCGGTTTATCAAGTCAAACATGTAAAAGCTTTATGAATACTACTTTCCTCAGGACAATTTGTGGTAAATTTTTTATAAATACAGACCGTCAGTAGCAATTTTTTTCACAAAGTCACCAAGCACGACCACAGGCCAGGAGTCATTTGGCTGCCCCTTAGGACCAGCCTAATTTGCTGGGGGACCTATTGTAAGTCAGAGATTAACCTGGCAAGCTCATCGTGGACTGGCCTCTGGCTGTTACTACAGACGACAAAGTGAATTGTTCATGTACCTTAGAATCTCGACATACATATGGCATTGCTGCAGGGTAAATTTACCTTTGTAAATAAATACAACACAAAGACATAGGTTGTGATGAATTGGTTCATCACTTTTCACAGATTATGAACAGGATTAGTAATTTTCTTGATAAAAATCTTTTTTTGGCCATGAGATATTCAACATTATTAATAACCACCACAACGTGTTAAGAAGACAAGTATACTCAAGTATGTATATTTACACACATATAATATATCTGTCGTATATAAACAGCTGTTAGCATAAACCACGAAATTTATCTTTCAACTCTGTTTTTTCCACAATAATATTCTAATAAGAGCCCCCTATTTCTAATTTTGAGAGCGCCCTGCGCACTTATCAAGTTATTACGTCGAATACGGTATGCAAATATACACACACATGTATAGAGGTGCATGTGAACGCTGTATCAGTGACTTTTTCAGACAAATTGGGAAGTAATCATTATTCTTTCAAAAAGTTCTTATTTTCTTAAATTCTGAGATAATTTAACTCTGCATTCAGAGCAATACTACAAACCTAAGATCAAAAGCCTCTTGCACTTTATCGGTCCTGTTATCAGTGAAAAGCCATAACATATGACTACAATAACATGAATTGGGAAATATATACCGTATTCAACGTAATAAGCGCCCAGGGCGCTCTCAAAGTTAGAAATAGGGGGCTCTTGTTAGAATATTATTTTGGTGAAAAACAACAGAGTTGAAAGATCGTAAATTTCGTGGTTTATGCTGACAGCCTGAAATGTTTATATACGACAGATATATTTTTTCCAGAATTTAATTTCCCATAATTATGAATGCATATAACATACATATTATACACAAATAAGTAAGTCCTGTGTCCATTGATCAATCGGAAGGGGTGCTAATGTGGATTGTTCACTAGCCAATATATTAGAAAATATCGCCGTGGGCCCTTATAAGAGCGGGGCCCTTATTACGTCGAATACGGTAAGCCCAATTGTGGACTTTTTACTGACATTTACTGCAGATTGGGGCCAGATATTGGCCTCTGAGCAGGTCTAGATAAAACCCTGTGTTTTCACATGAGACGACCCAGTAGTGAGGAGCGGTATGACATGATGATTGCGTGTCATCACACCCCAACATTGCAGGACATTGCTCGTAGTATCAATTACCTGGTCCAGACAAAAAGAAATTCCTATTCTGCTGTCACATCAAACAACCAACAAAAGTCTTTTCAACATTTAATTCAAACTAAAATTTAAAATTTAAAAAGACACCTATTTTCATTATGATTTCAGTAAGAAACAATGTGAATATCAACATTCAGGTAAGTGTTTGAATCCCTAGTGGTCCACCTTTAGTGACCATCAGATCAACAAAGTGATTGCTTAACTAAGCCAATGTTGAGCACCAATACAGGCGACATAACAGCAATAAAAAAATGAAATATGTTCTGGGATTTTAACCATGGACTTTTGGATGACATCTCTGCATAGGTAGAGTAATAACTCCCTTGAGTGAGTGAGCGAGTATAGTTTTACGCTGCTTTTAGCAATATTCCAGCAATATGACGGCAGGGGACACCAGAAATGGGCTTCACACACTGTACCCATGTCAGGAATCGAACACAGGTCTTCAGCGTGACAAGCGAACACTTTAACCACTAGGCTATCCGACTGCCCCAAACTCCCTTGAGTAGAGTGAGTGAGTGAGTGAGTGAGTTGGGTTTAACGCCGCTTTTAACATTATTCCAGTTATATCACGGCGTGTCAGCTTAATGTGGGAGGAAAGCCCCAAGTGATGCATGTCTCAGACGTTTACAACTTCGATGAAACCCACGAGCACGAGTATGGTGCTGACAAACCTAGAAACATAATCGGGCGAACCGGGATTCCAGCCCACAATCAAAGGTTTCTGGCGTGCCAAGAGAATTCTGCACAGCGAATCGCGGCGCCTTAGACAACTGGGCCACCCGTGCCCCCCCCTTGAGCATGAAAGAAGAAGTTATGAGAGTATTAGGGCTGAGACGATAGACCAACTGTCCGATCCGATACATATCACGATACTTGTGTGTGCGCTTATCTGTCGTGCATGTGCGATCTTTTTCAAAGACAGGATGGCCAAATACCTTGCATACTAACAATTTACTTTTGGCAGTGTCAAGTATGGCGCAATGGGTGAAAATTTCACTACTCATTTTCACTTGTTATTAGTGCTTGGTGTCATTAAAGAATACATTTAAGGTTAGAATCAATACTTTTTACTTAGTGTGCAATTGTGATCGATACTTGTATCGAGAAGTAAAAAAACTGCGATCCACCGCTACATCGTCCCACTAGTGACTACTAGAGGGTATAAACTGCAGAATATTAATTTGGACCACACAGAAGTATCTCCCTTGAACATGTAGACCCATAAAGGTTTGGTTTGGTTTGTTTGTTGTTTAACGCTGCACTCAGCAATATTCCAGCTATATGACGGCGGTCTGTAAATAATCGAGTCTGGACCAGACAATCCAGTGATTGATGTCATGAGCATCGAAGACATGCTTCAACCAAGTCAGCGACCCTGACAATCCCGATCCCATTAGTCGCCTTTTACGACAAGCATAAAGGTCTGGTTAGAAGTGGTCTTCAGCAACCCATGCTTGTCGTAAGAGGCGACTAACGGGATCGGTTGGACAGGCTCGCTGACTTGGTTGATGCATCTCATTATTTCCCAATGTGTGTAAATCAATGCTCATCATGTCAATCACTGGATCGTCTGGTCCAGACAAGATTATTTACAGACCACCGTCATATAGCTGGAATATTGCTGAGTGTGGCATTAAACAAAAAAACAAAACATGTTGCACATCAGCCCAGTAATCATGATAATATAATATTGCTATCTTGTTCACATGAGCTTGTTTTTTACTAGTTTTAGTCTGTTTACTGTTTCCTGCATAGTAACTGCACGCATGTAGCTGTGCAAACCAAATGTTACATCATCTGAAAAATTGAAAATTTGACATGTTGCGCCCCGCCCACTCATTGGGAGCCACACGTCAAACTAGACATTCAACAGCTTGCCAGTAAATGTAGCAATGTGTCTGCTAGGTTTAGACGGCAATATCGACTGAATATACATAGCACAACATGCATACCGAATTGAAATACTTTGCACTTTAACTCTAGCTAATGGCATGAATTAAAACTTACAAAAAGTAAAACTTACTTTGGTTTTCGAGAAATGCTCTGCTGAACTGTCTTGCATGACGACGTTCGTACGGAGAATTCATAGAGTCCCATCTTGAAAGAAAGACCTCCGAGGTACTGGAACATTCAGTGAACGTGTCACTGTCAAAGCTATCCCTAAAACTCCCATGCCACCGATCATATATTTCATGAAGCAGTCCATCAACGATGGAACCTTGCCTCGACAGTTTGTACCCGAAGCCATGTTTGTTTTCAACTTCGCTGTCCCAAACGCAACCTTCGTTATCCGACGACAAACTTCCACAACTCAGAAACTCTCTTCTTGGGGCCGACTCCGCCCGTTTGGAAGTCGAGGAGGGGGTTGGTACAAAGATGTCATCGTCTGAATCCGACAGGGTGGCCCCTGCCCCCCTCGCGAACCCCATTTTCTTCATTTTACCGACATGACGAGCAACATGTGTGTGTTTGTATGTGCGCGAGTCGCGTGTCGCGAGCTATCGAGGTCCCGTGACTAACCAGGCCACGTTTTGCTGTCAACGACTCAGCGCTCGACGTAACAGGTTTTCGCTCATACGGACAACGCATAATCGATATTTTAATAGCAGTTGCAACGGCATACCTTGATTTTATATAACTCGACGGACACTTATGTGGCTATTTTTCGTTATAACTTCCGCTTAACTACGTCACGAAGCATAAAAATCATTATTTTTATGACGAATGAGTCGAATGGTCTAAAAATCTATACGCTGACCACTCCACGCTATCGACTAGATCTAGATATATATTATGTATATCTATCTATATTTAAACGGAAAATTAAAGGTCTCACTAGAATCGTGTTGAAGAAAAAGAGAAGTTTTCTTCAGAAATGTTATCTTACAATATTTAAGCTATGCATAGCGTGACAGTACATACATCTAGATCATTATACATATATCTGACAGATATTTCAATATTTATTCCATTATATTTTATTTTGAATTTTGATAAATAATTTGGTTCTACAGCTAAGGCGAATATCAACATGTAAATATGAAATCCTCAGCTGCCTCCTACATATATTTAAGTGAAATGTACGATCAAGACATTGATTGACACATGTTGATTTCACTGGGCAACAGGTGACTCGTCAACAGGTGCGCGTTCCCTGTGTGGGCAGATATAGATAAGACCACTTGACATTATGCAATAACACAATCTGGCGGGATTCGTGTAAATATCGTTCTTCTGTAATACCTAATAGGCATGTTTTCAGCTAAACCGTTTACTGATGTCGCATTTCGAGGTCTGTAATTTCGAGTGCTTGTCGTTTCTTGTTTTCTGATTGTTTCCATTTTTAATATTTTGTAATATCTGGTTAAAGCCATCTTCAATTGGGTCTCCATTCTATAGTTATCATATAACCGATCAGATGCCAGATATTTGCACTGGGTAATCGAGGAGGGTGTAAAATTGGCATTATATTTCGTTTGAGTGAATGAGTTTGACCAGTATTCCAGTTATATCGCGTCGTGTCACCTAAATGTGGGAGGTGAGGTGAGGTGAAATTGGGTTTAACGTCGCGTCCAAGATTATTGCACTTACATAGCGACGTGCATGCACGTGTGTGTGTACGTGTGGCTGCTTGTACTAGTCCGGACTGATGCCGATTTATAGTGCTAGTTCACTGAGATACCATGCCGCAGTTTAACATGAATACCCCACTCAGACACAGTATACTGACTCCGAGCCGACCAGTCCTTGTTTAAGCCCCTTAATGCCGAGCGCCAGACATGGTAACAACAAGTACCATCTTTTAACGTCTTTTGGTATGACGCGGCTGGGGATCGAACCCCGGACCTTACGCTCTCCGGGCGGACGCTCTACCACAAGACCACGGAGGCGGCTAAATGTGGGAGGAAAGCCCGAAGTGATTCAGATCTCAGACGTTTACAACTTTGGTGAAACCCACGTGTATGGTGCTGACAAACATAATCGGGGCGAACCTGGATTCGAACCCACAATCAAAGTTGTCTGGAAATGCAATTCCAAGGGACGCAACTCTGCACAGCTAACTGCGGCACCGAAGACGACTGGGCCGTGACCGCCTTTTTGTTCAAATTTTCATTTGCATATTGCCTTCAAAAATAACAAAACTATATTTTTCGATCACATATTAAGGTCATAAACTATGTCGAATATTGTCAGACCAACTGCGTTTAATGGGAATACATTATGGAACATCTGCACTCTCTATCCACGCCACAAACCCGCTGAACAACGTAAGCTATATCGAATTACTCGTTTGCCCACTGAGGCTTGCGTTGAATAAATTTACATTAATAATCAGAGAAAACACACGTAAATAGTGTTTTATTTCAAATATCCATTTGGATTATAATGTTAGTATGAAGCAAGCAGAAGTTCTGCGTGACCCGTGAGAGTCGTTTGTCAAATCATTCTCATGTATTGATTAGATCTACACATATTTTCAAAATAATAAATATCGACCTTAACTAAAAACGATGGTCAATTATAACTCGGTATAATAATTTTGTTATAAAGATATTTTTTATCGAACACAATGGCGTGGATGATGTGAGAGTTAATATTCCTCGCATCAACTATTTAGCGACAACATGACCTGCAGGTGTGTGTGGGACCACACAGGTGAGCTTGTCACTGCGGGTGTCGAGTGTCATATGTGTGTGTCACCGTATATTCTACGACGGCAGACATCGATTCTCGATTCTATCAATATCGGTCACAGATAAGGTTTGCCGGTGTAAACCCGACTGGCATTGGCTGACCGTTGCGGATCGGCTACAGCTGTTATATTCATAGGGCGAGAGCTTGATGAGAGCTCCGGGTCGGGTTAACCTCTACGCCATGCTTGTTTAGTACCGACCAGAATGAGTATCGGATGTTTTCAATGTATCACCTGGGCTATTGTTTCAACATGTACTCCAACTGCGTGGATGTGCTCATGCTATCAACCACTAATTTGCCAGCTCCAGATTTGATTATTTGCAGGCAGTTGTGATGCAGGCAGTTATTCACTGGATTGTCTGTTCCATACTCGAATATTTACAGACCGCCGTCATATAGCTATAAAATGTTGAGTGCGGCGTTATACAACAAACAAATATCCACTCACTCACTCGGCACGCCAGAAACCTATGATTGTGGGTTCGAATCCTGGTTCTAGGTTTCGTGGGTTTCACCGAAGTGGTAAACGTCTGAGACCTGCATCACATCAGGCTTTCCACCCACATTAAGCTGACACGCCGTGATATGACGGGAATACTGTTAAAAGCGGCGTTAAACACAACTCACTCACTCACTCGCATACGGACATATATCCCACTGCTTCACTCCCCGACCTGTGAAGATCCGGGGTAGAATAGGTCTTCTGCAACCCATGCTTGCCGTAAGAGGCGACTAACGGGATCGGGTGGTCAGGCTCGCTGACTTGGTTGATGCATGTCATCGATCCCAATTGTGTTGATCGATGCTCAGGATATCAATCACTGGATTGTCTGGTCCAGACTCGATTATTCACAGACCGCCGTCATATAGCTGGACTGTTGCTGAGTGATGCGTTAAACAACCAAAGAAGTTCCACTCCCACATTCAAATCTGTATTGTGAGTCACACAGACTTCGGCTTCAGAAGTCATTCTTAGCGTCAAATCACGGATTAACCAAGTCAAAGTTTCTAGAAACAGTCGATCCGCTTAAACACATCAGCTAAAATGTGCTGCTACCATTCATTCAAGCGTATTGATTTATGAAGAATATAGTTCTCATTCCCGAGTCCCCCCATGTACAGCCTCAGTATTGTCTCCGCTCTGGCGCCCATGAAGGGACTACTGCCTGTTGTGTTTCTCCAATGTAGCGAGCCATTAATTGCTTAAACTACGATCTCTATATACACGTATTTCCCTGCGTACTGTGGACAATTTGTACACACATACAGGTGTGTTATACACCGTTATGAAAGACATTACGTAATCCCAGATCCTAGATCAGATCCCTTAGACATATAGAAGGTGAGGTGAAATTGGGTTTAACGTCGCGTCCAAGATTATTGAGTGAGTGAGTATGGTTTTACGCCGCTTTTGCAATATTCCAACAATATCACGACGGGGGAAATGGGCTTCACACATTGTACCCATGTAGGGAATCGAACCCGGGTCTTCGGCGTGACGAGCGCCCCCCAAGATTATTACACTTATATAGCGACGTACATGCACGTGTGTGTGTGTGTGTGTGTGTGTGTGTGTGTGTGGCTGCTTGTACTATTCCGGACTGATGCCGATTTATAGTGCTAGCTCACTGAGATACCATGCCGCAGTTTAACATGAATACCCCACTCAGACACAGTATACTGACTCCGAGACGACCAGTCCTTGTTTTAGCCCCTTAATGCCGAGCGCCAGGCAGGGTAACAACAAGTACCATCTTTTAACGTCTTTTGGTATGACGCGGCCGGGGATCGAACCCCGCTCTACCACTAGACCACGGAGGCGGTCAGGATACATAGAATATTTTGTTTATTTCACGTAATTTTCATGAACAAAACTTGGTAGGGGCATCAGTGTATGTTTTCGGGATATAGTAGTCCCAGTATTATGCTTGACGTAATATTGAGGCAAATTACTGGGCGACGTGGCTGTTTGCTAACAACGTCGTAAGGCGTTGCTCATAATAATGAAATCAGCCGCTAGTTTGGCTGGTCCAGACTCGATTATTTACAGACCGTGATAGAACTCAATTAGCTGGCGCTAAACAACATAATGCCACTCACGGGTGAGGTGGTAGCTATATGGCTGAAATAATGCCGATTCGAAGTTAAAAGTGTAACTCACTCACTGGAGAGGTGACCAATGATAACTAATTCTTTATCATTGTATTACAAATTCAAACAATTACATGTATTCAGATTATTAGGATGTAATGCAACTTTTTCATGGATAAGTATTCGTCTAGAGTCTAGAATCGAAATATTCTGGTAAACCATTAGAAACTACTTTCTTCATGTACATGTGTTCTTTTTTACAAACCGTTGAATTTTCTTTCACCAAAATTATAATCCCTTAACAAAGTTCGAATTAATTTTATAGTTCGAGATTGATAAGAACATTATGACTAAAGTCCATAATTAAATTGAACGGATTATACGAAATAACAAATATCAGCATACATTTCGAATGTAATCAGCAACAATTATATTAAATTCATCACATGTGTCATGGTGAGAAACTGTTCCTTTTACGACGCTTCATACACATATTGTTTTTTTTTTTTTCTTTGATGTTAAACTCTGCGAAATATAATCCTTTCTAATCGCTATAAAACGTCATAATAACAGAACATACATGTATTTCTTAGATATGACAATATCTTTAGCGATATGAGATCGACCGCGAATACCCGAGAAGCTGGTGCTAATGGTTACACACACAATATGGATCCCCATCTCAGGCTTCTGTTTGGGTTGCAGCCAAAACAATCAGTTGCCTGGCACAA